TCTGTTTATGGTACAAAGACAGAAAGGATTTGAAAAGTTGTTCCAAAATTTGTTTGTACAAATAAAACCTGCTGTGTAATCGATAATCTATTTTACTAGGTAAGGGAACAGATGAATCAATATATACGTGCTCAGCTTCAAAGTCGGGAGTCACACATCGCGTCACTCCCTCGTTCTCCTTGCAATTTTTACTGTAATGGTGCAGAGGTTTGGCACGAGGATGAAATTTATACAGCCGGTTATCTGGATACCGTCCCGCATCAACTTTTTCGTTTGGGAGTTCCGTGATTCCTGAAGTCAGCGGAAATAAACGCTTTAACTGTCGGTGTTCAATTTTAGGTGTTAATGGCCTTTTGTTTAGACCTAACAAACGCTCGAAAGTCAAAGAAGACTAGTAACTCAAAAAGGAGCCTTAGTTTATCTCCAGTCTTGGAACGGTAAGAATGGACAAGTCAGTAAGTAGGAACTGATGGAAAGTAGATCAAATAATATCCTTAGTTCGCTTCACTTACGTACACTGGTCATTTCATTTCACAGCCGAGGTCTATTAACAGTAGATTCGGAGTATAAGCTTCCGCGACAATTTACTTGCGAACGGGCTGAAAAAACGCTTATTCGTTTTTGAAGATAGTCAAAATATCTCTGGTCGGGCAGTGAGCAGATCCGATCGGGCCCATCTCAATCATGTCTTACCTGGCGTCCAGTCACTCGCTATTACCTGTAGCGGCACATCTTGTCTGTTCTGCATACTTTTTTCTCTGACGATGCGGACTGAGTCCCAGAAAGGCCAAAACAACGCCTATTTCTTTTTGGCCAGTGTCCAGTCACGTTTTGAGGTGACCTCTAATTTTTCAGGTCCAGTAGGAAGGTGGCGTTGTTACAGAACAGCAGCATGGGATCCACAATGCGTCAACTACTAGCCCCAGTACTTTTTTCTGGATGGCAGAATATTCTTCTGATATTAACGGAGCAAATGAAGACGATGGCATTCGAGACGTGGCAG